GTGGTCAAGTAGGGTTCTGGGTCCTGGGGGTAGAATGATAGCTACGCCAGATAGAGCCCTAGCTCTTGCGGGGTCTCCTTTCTAGTAGGAGAGAAACCAACAAGTCGATATATAATGCAAGAACACAGAGTAATATGTGCTATGTAGAAACATTAAGCATAGTTGGGGACAAAGAGAAACGGGAGCTCCTTTTTTGGATGGAGCGGTTATAGAATGCTTTTATGATGAGAAAGCGTTTGACTAGGAATGTGAAGGAAGTGAGGGGGCGAGTCCTGCAGATGTCTGAGAAAGTAACATTCCAGGCAGAGAAAACACCAAGTTCAAAGGCAGGAATAAGCAAAATTTGTTAAAGGAAGAGCAAGAAGCCCAGTGTATCTACAGCACTGGTGCAAGGGAAAGTGGCAGGGAATGAGTTCAGAGAGGTCGGCAGGGGCAGGTCACACAAGGCGTGTAGGACTAGGGCATGGTGGGATTTGGGAGTTTTTCCCCAGTGAAATGGAAAACCACTGGGGAATATTTTTACATTTTAAAAGGATCACTCAGGTTCTAGAGTGAAGGAGAAAATGTAGGGAGTCAAGGGTAGAAGCAGAAAGACCACTAAGCATTAAAATTAAATAATGCTGGTAAAATTCATAAAAATGGCATGTAGGTTTTCAAAACAAAATGGAAATCAGAACATGATCTGATTTTCCTATTCTGATATAAACATTTTGCCAAGTACTTTTTAAAAACTTTCCAAAGAAATAGTTTTACAGAAGTGAAAGACCAATATATCACTGGTATTACCTTTTATGCCACATTTCAAAATCTTCTCTTTGCATATAATAAGCATTAATGTTATTGGCATTCTGATATATACAGAATGTGTATATGTTAAATAATCCAGAAAAGGGATTGAGGAAAAGAAATCTTCTGTAAAACAAAAATATGGTTCTTTCGTTAAGATTTTCTTAGTTCAACTCCCTTCCAAAAAGACTTACTATTAATTTTCCTGGACTTTAATTTTTATTCTTCAGATTTCTGAGCCACCAAGCTACTTTCGGCGATGATCTACCCAACCACATAATTTCTGGAAAAGTCCTGATGAAACCAAATGTGAGAGAGTTCACTGAGACATCAGCCATCTTTGAAGATGACACAAAAGAGGACATTGATGTCATTGTCTTTGCCACAGGCTACAGTCTTTCTTTCCCTTTCTTGGAAAGTGACTCAGAAATCCTGGACAGCCAGCGCTCCATGTTTAAGTTTGTCTTCCCTCCTCAGCTAGAGAAGCCAACACTGGCTTTCATTGGCATCGTCCAGCCAGTGGGAGCCACCATTCCCACTTCAGAACTCCAGAGCCGATGGGCTGTACGTGTATTCAAGGGTATGTGCTGACCTTAGGGATATTTAGAAAAGAAGCCATCAGGTGTTGTCATTTCAGAGGCATTGCAATAGTCTGCTGCTGCAAAGCATCTCTGAAGTTAACCTTTACAATATCTGCAACTTTGCCACTTGAGGTTTGTCACTTCAGTGTTTGATAGCTATTTATTTAATCTTTAGGATTCCTGCATGAAAATAAAAAACAAAAAAACTACTACCTCAAGCTATTATCAAATGACAGTTTTTTGGCAAGTCATTGTTTAGAGCACTGCAGGGATGTATGTAGTATAGGAAGTAAGAGCAGGAGAAAGGAGATCTCACCTGAAGTATAGGTGGGAAATAAGTTATCCCACTTGCCAATGTTGCTAGGGTCATTCCGAATGAGCCACATCAATGGGAGCATTTTTTGCCTGTCTCTCAAATGTTCATTCAAAATACAAGGAGTACAAGCAGGTGCATATGGCAGAGTCACAGAGCAACTGGAATAGCACCACGGCAAAATTAAAAGAGCAAGGGCTTTACAATAAATAGATCTGGAATTAAAATTCAGCTCTACCATGTACTGGCTGCAGGATCTTGACATGTTATTTGACCTCCACAATCTCCTCATTTGTTAAAATCGGAAGACTTATATC